GGTTCTGACCCATATGCACCACGGAAGGCAACACTGCCCAGCCCTGCAGCAGCGTCAGCATTGTTCCTGTGCTTGAGCCCCGAGTTGCAGCATGGTGTCAACTCATGTTGCTGACTCATTGACAAAGGATAGTGCTAGACTCCCTTAAGCACCCCACCCCCATCCCCACCCTGGTCTGTCAGGTGCTCGGTCACACTGTGCTGGTTGTGTGTTGCTATGATGCTAGAGTTTGGCCACCAGGAATACTTTCAGGGTCACCATTGGTGGACAGATTTCCATCAAACTTTCAGACTCAGGCCGGCTCGGAAGAAAGGCCCAATGAACGACTTCAGAGAATTCAACAATGAAAACCTCATTGATCACAACACAACAATGACAATCCTCTGTGTGGTCGTGCTGCAAGAGGAGGCCCCACACCGAACGCTCTCACAGTGATGGGGAAGATAGCCCTGTCCCTGGAAAGGTGGCCTGCTGTGGCCATGGGTTGGACCAGATTGAATAGCAATGACTGACCCGCAGACTCGCAGAGAACACTTTACCCTGTAGCAGATACTGAGTGTGTGATAATGGGGCCTCAAGGAGGTGGCGGTGGTAATCCATCTCAGCGTGGGGGTGCTCCTGAACCACACATTGGCAGCTTGCAGGAGACTGGGTTCTGGGAACTGAGCCTCCTTGGCCTAGATCCTCAGAGCTGCACCCAAACGATGAAACCACAAGGCACCTGAAACACCACTGAAGTCCTCACTGCCATCCTTTGCCTGGTATTTATGCTTTCCAACAGTGTTTCTCAAAACCTCTTAATGCCTCACGCCCATGACGGCGGGCTCAATCCCGCGTACTGCTGCTCTCGCTTCCCACCTTCCCCACCTTGCATGGCATGGAATCCATGAAGTCCTCCCCACCCCCACCCCTTACAATTGACTCTTCTCTTTTATGCATCTCTCTGTTCTTTCTGAAGCCCTCCCAGGGAGTAGCTGCAGCTGGTCCAATTCTTGACCATACCTATTTTACTGGGAAGTAATCAAGACCCAGAAGCCCAGATTCCAGCCAGTTCTCCTTTGGGGGTGGAGGCGGGGATCAGAACTCTGGAATACTTCTCCCAAGAACTGTTCGTATTCTCTTCTCAAATGGGAGTAAAGGACTTTCTCCCAATTGCCTATTTTACAAGTAGAAATGACTTCTTTTAGACCTCACCCAAACCCTTGACAGACCTTGGCCTTGAAACATAACGGACCCTGCCTCTCTAGAACAGAGAGGGAAGGGTAAGAGCACAGGGAAACACCCAGAAGGGAGGGAATGAATGAGATTGTCAAAACCCCCGGGAAAGTGTTCACAATGCCACTGAGCAATGTGTGCACTAATTGTTAAGTGGGACTTTAACCGGCTCTGTAAACTTGCACTGAAAACACAATAAAATAGTATTAGAAGGAGAAAAACAATAGTAAGCAAACTATCTGCCACATATTATTTTTTTGTCATTCTGTGACTGAGCACCTACTTCAGAGTCAATATGGAGAGTTTGTTAAAATCACAGTCTTAGACCTTGGTCAAGACCTGCTCAGACAGCATTTGGGGGTCAGAGAGCAGGAAGTGATTTTTAATAAGCTCATCGGGAAATTCTTATAATGGCTAGAGTGAGAAAGCCAACTTTGCCTTAATAAAAATAGGAAATGGTTTCATTGGTGTGTAAGCTCCCTGACCATAAAGGAGACGCTCAAGGGGCCCAACAGTTGACCCTCCATGGTACAGGCTGTGGGCAGAGGTCACAGAATCTGGTGTGACTCCAGAGAAGACAGGCATGAGCAGGGTTGGAATAACAGCCCCCCACGCCCCCACCCCCAGCACATAATCTGCCACGAACAAGATGGGCCTCTCGGAACATGTTAACACCAATCTAACCAAAGAGCAGGAAGCAAACTTCCATTCTGTTTATTGCCATGACTCGAAAATGCTATCGTTTCGAACTAAATGTTTGTTTTTATGTTTTGTCATTTCCAGGCACACACGTAGCTCGAACAAATCCCGTGGCGTGAGGGACTGGGCCTCCTTCTCTAGGACTTCCAGGCTTTGGAAATGAAGCTAAGCAGCCTTTGTTATATCCGGCAATTCTGCAACCTTTCTCGAGGCATTTTATTATTACACTTGCGGAAACCATCGGGGTTACATTTCAATCACGGTGATTGACAGATTCACTTCCAAACAGCAGCTCTGGCGGCCTTTCCACACTTCCTCAACTATGTACTTCGAATAGAACCTTTCCTAAGTTGTCCCTTGGCCTGGGTGGAAATAAAGTCATGGGTAAAATATTTATCCCGTGTGTTGGCTAACTGAAAAATTGATATTTGGGAGCCTCTAGAAGGCAAGGCTGTGGAAGTGGATCTCTTAGAAGGAATGCGCTTCCTGTGAACCCAAGGTTCACTTGGCCTTGATATTTGTAGGTAAGCTAATAGAAAAGACATGCGCAGCTTGCTGCCTGGCTTAGGGGCTCCTCCTGCCCTGAGTGTGATATCACAGGGCTTGGGGGGAATGTGATGACCACATTAGCTTTATGAAACTAGTAAGCATGTCAGGCGGTAACCTGACACCTTGGGTGGGCTGGTTGAGGGGTAAGAATGTGAAGAAAGGCCCAGGAAATGCTTCTGATATTGGCTTAAGAATCCCTCTCCTCCCCTTCCCGTGCATGTGGAAGTGGGACCGTGAAGTAGGCAGAACAAAGAACACTCACAGACTCCAAGAAGACGTATAGTGCTGGGGATGAATACTGAAAGTACCGTAGGCGGCCAAGAGGACAAATTGTCTTAGAAGAAGTTCAGCCAGCAGGCTCCTTAGAGGCAAGGGTGGTGCGACTTTGTCTCATGTATTTTGGACACGTTGTCAGGAGAGACCAGTCCCGGGAAAAGGACATCATACTTGGTCAAGGAGGGGGGCAGTGAAAACAGAGGAAGACCCTTGCCAAGATAGTTTGACAGAGCGGCTGCAACCAAGGGCTGGAGCCTGGGCACCATTGTGAGGCTGGTGCAGGAGCGGGCAGTGTGTCGTTATGGGTCAGAACGGGCTCAACGGCACCTCACAACAGCAAACCCCACAACAATGCTCCGTTTCCTAATCAGGTCACATTCATATTTTGGGGGACACAATAGGAATCTATTTTGGGTGGCACTAGAGGCACTAATCAACCTACCACATCTGGCATCTGGTTTCTGATCTGTTATGGGTATAGGCTGGATCTAACTCCGTGACGCCTGGTCTAAAATCTTAGCTCGTGTCTTTACCCAGAACTCTATCCCTTGGCCACGATGAATACATTGTACTTTGAACTGGGGAGCCATCTGGTTCTTTGGGGTTGTTTTGCTGAAAGAAAGAAGCACTGCGGTGTGAACAGCGCATGCTCAGAAGACAAAATGCCACAAGAGAAGAGAGCAAGGACAAGTATTCTGCCTCCAACCTGGAGGTTGCTGATGTGTGGTCCAGACCAGACCACCCCAGTAGCCTTCCCGCTTACCCCCAGCAGGCAACCCCTGGTTCGCTCTCTGGTTTTGCAAGCAAGTGCCTGTTGCGTTTCCCACCATTCACTCCGTAGCCTTGAATCAAAGACGTGAAATGAGCCCATAGTCCCTGATAGACCAGTCAGTTGGGTCATACCTCGGGTCTACTGAAATTTTAAAACCCTGCAAGTGCCTCATTGTCACCTGATCATCCAGGGATTTATCTCTTTCCAACCCTTCCCTTAATTTTGGAGGTGATAGGTTCATCCTCTAGTTCCAGGCCAGCCCTCGGAGCCCTTATATAGCTGGAAGGCGTACTAATCAACCAGGACTATTTACCGTATCTTTGCAGGGGTCCTCAAACTTTTTAAACGGGCTAGTCCACTGTCCCTCAGACCCGTCGGAGGGCCAGAGTATAGTTTAAAAAAAAACTATGAACAAATTCCTATGCACACTGCACATATCTTATTTTGAAGTAAAAAACAAAATGGGGCAAAAACACCCGGCGGGCTGGATAAATGTCCTCGGCGGGCTGCATGTGTCCCGCGGGCCATAGTTTGAGGACCCCTGCTTTAAGGAGATGTTTCAAGCATTGCCAAAGCTTGCTGACATAGACATCAGAAAAAACGCCAACTCTCCCATTTGCTCAAGCAATGCACTCCATCAAGATGACCAGGCAATAGTTTGCTCTGTTTTCCACACGCTCACCAGGAGCCTGAGCCAACTCAATGATGCTTCACAAGAACCTCATTTACTAGAAGAGCCCTGGTCTGCTTGCAGAAATTATGAAAAACTAAATGGAGAAAATACTGAAGTCTGAAAAAAATCTTGGGCAGTTGCTATTTTGTCTGTTATCTCTCCCAGCAGGTTGCTCTTTCTCACCCTGCCAGTCCTCCTTCCTTCTGCTCAAGCCTCAGACTGCGGTGGGAGCATGTGCTTCATTTTCTCCATTGGCCCCTATCTCTGGATTGTGCCTGCTCAACATACTGATGAGAGAGAGAGAGAGATCCATGTTTGCTGTGCAAACATTGTCATTATGTTTACCAAGGTTATTTTATTTAAACCCTGTAAGATTCGTACCAAGGGTTATGTTAACTTGCTCAATGTCACAAAGCTGGTAGGTAGTAGGATTAGGGATTTGAACTCAGGTCTCATTCCTCTCCCAAAACCCATGCTCTTGGGAGAAGAACTGCTAACTAGGACTTGTAGTACATATGATGGCTAATTTCTGTCCTGCACTGTCTATCAGACTGGCTTGTTGGTCTTTCATTAAAAAAAAATGTTCAAAGAGAAAGGGAGAGAGACAACTAAGACAAAGCAGAGGATATTCTAACATTTTAGCAGTGAAACCATCTCTTTGGTCATGCAAATAAAGGCAACTAATGATAATTTTATCTCTTCATAATATAATGTCTCATAAACATTACAAAAAATTGTTTACCGTGATTCTGAGGTAAAATGTGTTAGCCAAAGGGTTAATGATCATCAATTCTAGAAATACTTCAGAGTAAAATAATTAGTACTTAATTACTAAGTTATAAAAAATAATTAGTACTGAATTACTCAGCTATGTAAGTTCAGAGTGTAGAGGAAGGATGTGACTTTGAGGACTAAGAGGCACCTGACCCAAGCCATGGTCTTCCCCATTGCTTCTTATGCGCGTGAGAGTTAGGCATTGAATAAGGAAGACCAAAGAATAATCGATGCATTTGAATGGTGGTGCTGGGGAAGAATGCTCAAGGTACCATGGATGGCAAGACAGAACAAATCGCTCTGTCTGATCCGTCTTAGAAGAAGTGATACCAGAGTGCTCCTCAAAGGCGAGGATCACAAGATTGGGACAGATTGTCAGGAGAGACCAGTCCCTGGAGAAGGACAGCATACTGAAAGTGGAGGGGCAGTGAAGGAGGGGAGGGCATCCAAGAGATGATTGGCACCGTGACCGCAGCAATGAGCTCAGGCAGAGAGACAATTGTGTGTGGCGGCATATGGCTGTGCAGTGTTTCACTGGGTTAGGCGTTTTCAAAGCGTGGTTACATGTCTCTCACAATAGTCAACAAACCCAACTGTCTTCTTTCCCTTTGCTGTCCTCCTCCTCTGCCTTTGACAGCTGTTTATTTGACACCTAGTGTGTCACAGGTGTTGCCTGTACTAGGTGCTGGTTCCCCAATTCAAACAGAACATCTGTAAGGTAAATATTACCTTCCTTTTTGAAATGAGGAAAGTGAAGTTGACGGGATTTAAGACTCATTTAAGGTCACACTCTATTAAGAGCACATACCCTGCTTCCTAGTGAAACCTGCCTCTGTCCTCTGTGCCAGATTGATTCTCAGCGGGCAGGAGTAGCAGACACAAAAGATCCCCAGGCACTGCCTTGCAGCTCTCCTCATCGACTAAGTCAAATACACACATCTCCTGTCTCCAGGTCAACAGTAGTGAGGGAAACTCAGTTGACTAAGAATCTGTGTTTGTTGATGCAATGAGAATTCACAAACCACCTCCCCTGTAAGATCCCTGAGGGAGCCCCACCCCGAATAGTCAGTGTGGCTGCCCTGGCTCTTGATTTCACTCTTGAAAATGTGCTCTGCACTCTTAATCCCCAATAATGCAAGTGGAAGCCAAAAACTATTGCTACAAAATCAACAGGTGCCTCTGAATGGGCTCCAACGCATAGCCGCCCTATGTACCGCAGGACTGAGCAGCACCCGGCCATCCTCACAACGGCTGTGTTTGAGCGGATGGTGGCAGCCACGGGGTCAGTCCCTTGCACCAAGGGGCTTTCTCTTTTTTACTGATCTACAATTTTATCAAGTTTGATGTCCTTTTCCAGGACATGGTCTTTTCTGATAAAGCGTCCAAAGTACATGAGATGAAGTCATACCATCATGGTTTCTAAGGAATATTCTAGTTGTTCTTCAGCCGAGACAGGTTTGTCATTGATCTACTTTCAGAGTTCTTTACCAGCCCCCTAATACAAGTGAACCCATTCCTCTTAGGTCTTTTTAAGTCATTTTCCATCTTTCACACAGATACGAAACAATTGAAAATCCCATGGTTTGGGTCAGAAGCACCTTAGTCCTTAAAGTTATACCCATGCTCTTCAACACATTCAAGGGGTCTTGTTAAGCTGATTTCCCTAAGACAATGCATCATTGGACTTCTTGACTGTTGGGTCCATGACTTTTGGTTGTGGCTCTAAGAAAATGAAATCCTAATAACTCCAAACTTTTCTTAGATGGAACATCTCAGCTACTCTAGACCGGGTCCTAAGAAAAGATCTGAACTAGGACCACCAGATTACAAATGAACCCCAAGTGTATGATTCATGGTCACACTGTAGTAAGTGGATTTCCCAGTTGGGTTGCTCATTCACCTGCTTTTCTGACTTTCTTCCCCGTCTCTCTCTCCTTCCTTTCCCTTACTCTTGCTTCTCTCTGCTAAAAGCCAGACCCACAAAAACAAGTCCATGTTCTTCAGAGGGAGTCTGAAGAAAAGGGTGTTGCTTAAGCATTAGCCTACATCAGAATCAACAGAGGACTTAATCAGACAAATTGTGTGATCTGACATCAGTGTTTCTGGCTTCGTAGGTCTGGAGTGGAGTTCCTGCTCCATAATCAGGTATTAATCAAAATTTGGCAGTTTGAACATACACGGAGGCTCAGCGGAAGATAGATCTGGCATCTGCTTCCAAAAGGTCACAGCCTCAAACCAGGGGGTTGTCATGAGTTGAAAATGACCAAGGTCATCTAACAGCAAACATATCTGGTCTTAGAGAGAGCCAAGACTGCCTGGCTGAGAAGTCCACAGGTAATGCTGATACTTGTG